GCTCTGGTGATCAACATCCACGTCCACAGGTTTTTTTGGCACAAGACACCTGTAAGGAGGGGTTTTTGCCCTCTGCACAGAGCTCTGAAGCATGCAAGGCTCCACAAATACTTTGCAATTATGTTTTGGTCCAGGTATTACAGAACCAGCTCCCATCCGGCTCGTGAATGGTCCGAATCGTTGTGCTGGGAGAGTCGAGGTGTTTCATGAGCAGCAGTGGGGAACCATCTGTGATGACGACTGGGATAGAGCTGAAGCCAGCGTTGTGTGCAGGCAGCTGGGCTGTGGGGCAGCGCTGTCAGCCCCGGGTTCAGCTCATTTTGGGCAAGGGTCTGACCCCATCTGGCTGGACAATGTGAATTGTGCAGGGAATGAAGCTGCCCTCTCCGAGTGTAAGACCGAGACTTGGGGGTCCCATAACTGCAAGCATGGAGAAGATGCCGGTGTTGTGTGCTCAGGTAACCACCATCTGTGTCTCAGTCTTGATGGAGTTGGGGAAGTGTGCTGGGGAAATGTCTTCATCCTCAACAGAAGGTCTTCTCTGAGCTCATGATGCTCCTAGTGTGTGCTATTAATCACCATGGTGTATAAATGCATAGCTGTGTAATTTATACAACACTCATGGCCCTGGCCACGGTCAGTGGTCCCCATTGATTCAGAATTAGGGAGTTACCATCAGCAAGCCCCAGGCTCATAGCTATATCAAGGTTTGTATTCCATACCTCAGCTCCTAAAGGCTCCAAGACTTTTCCAGGGCTGGACAGGTCCCAGAAATATCACATTCCTGCTGAGGTACAGGCTTGTGGTGTCGTATAGTCACCACTAAGTCTACACTTTTACATGAAGATCACAGCTAAAACTAAGCAGTGTTGTCAGCAAGTCTTGGTATCTGGCTGATTGGGAAATTTACTTCATGCCATCAGGTAAAGCAATAAAACGTCCCATTTCAGGATTCATAGAGAAGTTTAGAAACCTGAAACCACTGAATATGTCTTTGCAGCACTTGTATCTAAGTGTCTTTTCAGTTTTCTCTCCAGTGTCTCTTGCAATCTGCAGTCCTGAAGAAACCTCTTGCTTTGTTAAAGCAATTGGGAGGCTCATAGGATAGTTCAGGTTAAAGGGACTACGGGAGTTCTCTACACCAATGTCCTGCTCAAAGCAAGGTCAGCTATGATGTCAGACCAGCAGACCTTTATCCAGGCTCAAAAACCTAGTCTGACAATCTTTCAGGGCAATCCTAAACAATTCCAATATTTTCTTTAAAATCAGGCATCCTGTTTTCTCAACTTTTAGCTCTTCTTTTCTACATTTCTGGGATGTCTGAGTGAGAAGCTAGCAGAGCTTTCCTGGAGTCCCTCCTTCCTTCTATGAAAAGCTTTGGGAAACTTCAGGAGAACTCAGTGCTCTTTCAAGCGGCATCATCTCCCCTACCATGAACATAGCAAAGTACATGCCTGCAGCTGAGCTGGTTGAAATGCTGTCACCCAGTGCTGGGTTCTCAGCTATGGACAGGACAGACCCTTGTTAAACACCTGATTTTAACCTCCTCTTTTGACTAACTTGATTTGGCACACTGCTTCAGTGCAGGAAAGGGTTGGCTGATGCTTTTTAAGAGCATTTATTGTCCAATTCAGCTGGCTTTACCAGCCATGAGAGTTTTCGAGGAAGATTAAGTGTCTGTTAATATACATTACCATAATCTGCTTTCTCCTAGCCAATTATTCAGAACACATACGGTGAATATTGCAGTAACTGGAGTAAAAGGTGTAAGACCAAAAGAAAGTTTCAGGAATATGGGCACTGGACAGTCTGTTCCCTGATGGACATTATGAAGCTTCACTTATGTGACCCAGTTTATCTGAGCATGTGTCATGTTCCTGGACATAGGTACCTAATGCTATATAAGACACCTAACAGTATGCAGACATCTATGTGGGGCTGGCTGATGTGATCCTGGAGCTGAGACACACACCCTTCCAACATGACAGCTGGAGGATGGCAAGGATGCCCCAGCGCACCTCAAATGGGAAAAGACACCTAATTGGAGGCTCTTGAATTGCTCCCATTGCACGGGTTTTGCCTGTAGATTACATTACTTTTTTACTTCAGAGCTCAGCCTAGCAGATTGCTATTTATTCAGAGCAGGCACAGCGTCCCGTGTCACCGTAGCATTGGCAGTGATTCAAACAAACCATCTGAGACCTGCCTGCTTGGAAGGGATGCATTAGCATGTCTTACTGGCTGGGAGACTGAAATACCACTCCCAGACGTAACTGGGACATTTCTGCCAGTCTGCAGGCAGTGCAGAGCCACATAGACTTTGGGGTAACCCTGAATGGACACCTGAAGTGTCCTCTTTAGCCATCTGTTCTTCATCCGTGGGACAGCCTGGTTAGCACTCGTCCCCTACAATGTGTCAGGTGCAGTGTATTTATGTGCATTTATCCTTTTTGGTTGCTTTTTGTGCAGGTACTCCAGAAGTGCCTCCGGTCCGTCTGGTGAATGGCCCCACTCGTTGTGCCGGGAGAGTTGAGGTGCTTCATAGCCAGCAGTGGGGGACGATCTGTGATGACAGCTGGGACTTGAGCGATGCTGCAGTGGTGTGCCAGCAGCTGGGCTGTGGGAAGGCCATGTCCGCCCCAGGTTCAGCTTATTTTGGGCAAGGTTTTGGCCGTATCTGGCTGGATGATGTGAAATGCTCTGGTAAAGAATCAGCCCTCTCTGAGTGTACAGCGAGGCCTTGGGGAGTCCATAATTGTAATCATGGAGAAGATGCGGGCATCGTATGCTCAGGTAACCTTCATCCATGTCTTGTCCTACTAGGCATTAGTCGATACTAAGCTTCTAGGCTGGATGTTGGGGCTGGTGGCTCTTTGTCCCTTCCCAGTCTAAACTTCTTGTCTTAGACAAGTACCACGGGGTGATGTTGGAGGTGTGGACTTGGAGCTTGCTGTTTTGAGGGATGATTCCCATCCCTCCATGTGACGTTTTTCCTATTTGCATTTTTTAAATATCACTAAATACTATATCCACACTAGTAAATTTCAGTGGCTTGTTAGGCTAAAGCAAGCTGCTTTTACAGATCTGGATTGCTTACATTTTCTTCCAGGTGGGATCTAAACCTCACAGATTGTTCCAGAGTGGAGAAGAGAGATGATATTGCCAGCCAACACGAGTATGGCATTCATTTAATCCAAACAAAAGTGATGTCTGAAGTCCAAAGAGCACGCAGTACAGAAGCAAACAACTGACACTCTGTTCTATCACACTCAAATGCAAGCACCAAACTGATGTGCCCAAATCAGGGGCATCTTTGCCCTGGGAACCTATTCAGTTAATGAAGAGAGAGAGGCAACTGCATGGGGCAAGACAGCCCAGCTACCCTCTGAATCACCTCAGATGCCTCTCACTCCCCTGGCTATAGAAGGAACTTTGGGTCATGTTGTGACTAATTTGGGTACCTCTGTGCTTGCTTGGACATGGTCCCACTGGCCACAATTCCTGTCACAAGACAAATTTCCAGGCATCTTCTCTCAGGGGTGGAGGGAATATTTGCAGAACATTGTTGGGCACTTGAAGTCAACTTGAATCCTTGCACCGTCTCACATTAGCATCCCTTCCCTGCCCAATAGGTCATACAGTTCCCATGCCAATTCATCCTCTTCTGCTGATATTGCCTCTAATCCACAAAAGTTGTCTTGTGCTGATGGTAGGGATAGAGTATATAAACATTTGGCTCTTGCTGCATGGGCTTGGACACCCAGCACCCTTCCCCCAGAAGTGTTTGCGTACTGCAGTGAAGTCCTCACATAGCTTGCCCTCTCGTAAGTAGGACAGACTGAAACTCGTGGCCCTCTGAGACATTCCCTCCAAGCTTTAAAGCATTTCTGTGTCTCTTCTCACCTTCTGTTTAAAAAAAAAAAAAGACCAAAAAAAAAAAAACCTTTAAATGAACTTCCTGTTCCTGTGAGTCTGTGTGATGCTCTGTGTTGTGGTCAGATCACCACCAGCTTCACCTCATTTCTGCCCTCCCCAGAGCCACACTAAACTAGGGCACCTCCCAAAAGCATGATGATATGAACTGCTTTAGACCCGCTTTGGAATGAGGTGAACTGGTCTGGGGGAGGTGGATGAGAGGACACAGTCATCTGTCCTTCCCATAAAACTAGCTTGAGTTGGCCAGCTAACTTGGAGACACCCGATGTCAATATTGAGCTGAAGACCTTTGCTCTTTGCTTCATTGAGATTAAAGTGTTTATGTTGTGCTGACAGGCACAAAGCACCTTGCTTTTTGGAAAGCAACAAATCACAAAAAAATTCTGTGTTGAAGGCTAGGTCTTGCTTGGACATCCCTGAAAGGGGAAATTACCCACTTGTTAAGTGCCGGCTTTGGTCCGTGGGAAAAGTGAAGGAGGAAATGGGGTGAATTGTTCCCTATGGGGGGCAGTCCCCCCCCGATGAGGGACAGAGAAACCTTCAGAGATAAGCTTGTGTTGTGCAATGTTCAGTACCCTTCCCAAGGCTCCTATGGCTGCCCTTGTTACTGATCTGAATGTTAGTGGAGGCAAATGTTTCTCTGCAGACCTGAGAAATGGTATACTGTCATACCATTGGTATAAATATTCATTGTATTCATTTATCACATAAATATACATCATGTTGGACCAACTGCACCCTTCCAGATAATGTGCTTAGGCAGCAGAGATCCACAAGCAATTTATGAGACAGCCAGTTCAGTTTTAGGGGAACTTTATTGTCACTTTATGATATTTACTTTTCAGTGGGAATAATGTGTTGAGCTGGGTTTTCCATCAGTGCAGTTATTACTGAGTTTATAGATCCTTCAAAGAATGAGAGAGAATGGTTTTGCCAAACCCTGGATCCTGTTGTGGCACACAGATGGTTCTGCAACATCCCTGGCCTTCACCTTCCCAGCTGAATCTTGCTGGCCCATCTTGCCGCAGCAAGATGAGCATGGACCAGTGGGGCCTGTCTGGCACTCATGGTGCTTCTGTCTCCTCCAGGATCTTGTTAACTGCAGAGAAAGGGAGCAAGGTAAAGCAAAATCTGCCCTCAGGAACTGTCTGACACCAGAATTGCCTGCTAGAAATGACAAAGACTCTGCTCCTGAAGGTCTGAAGGTTGGGTTATAGCCTTATATTTGGGGCTCTTGGGAAACCAACCCCTGAGCTTTGGACAGGGCCCTGCGGGAGCCAGGACGGGACTATATGAAGTGCAGAATGCAATGACTAATCTAGAGGACTGCAGCACATGGTCCTGACAGCATGACCCTGTGCAGCACCCAAGTGAAATCCAAGCCCCTACGGCCCTGCTCCTCCATAATGAAACCAGCCTAAGACCCCCAGGGATTCCTCCCTTCACCCATGCAGGGCCTATCCAAGATTCTCTCCCAAGAATCAGGGCATGAGAAGTCAGGAACTCAGCTCCCAAGAGCTTCAGAGAGTCCAACTCAAATATTTACTGAGTATTGATGATGTACCAACACAGAGGCAGCTCGCCCTAGACACCGTTGCCCCCACAGATGCTCATCATTGCATCCTGCCCCAGAAACTGCCCTACCTTCCCGCTTTCTGCCCTTTAGGAGCCTTGCCCTATATAAAACCCCCTTGACAGCATCTCCCCAGCAGGATCCATCCCATAGTCAGACTGTCACCGGTGTGTTTGCCTCTGCTGTGCTGATGCCTCTCTCCCACCAGCTGGTCCCACCACATCCATCCTAACCAGATGCTCTATATTCCTTACAGCTCCCTGCTGTATTCTTTTCCCTGCCTCCACCCTGAGCTGGCAGGAGCCTTCCCACCCTGTGATTCCCCTTCTGTACCCTGCAGCTGAGCCTGCTGGCTCTGCTAGAAGTGTTTGACCCTGTCCCCACATAATTTCAGATGCCACAGTGATGGGCAGTTACCTGCACAAACAACATCAGCGTCCTCTCCATGATAGCAGTTGTGTTCACCCCATGGCCTGGCCGGACAGTCAGAGATGCTCTCTTCCGTCCCGTTGCATTCAACATCGTCCAGCCAGATAATGTCTGACCCTCGCCCATAGCGGGCACCTCCCAGAGCCGACAGCGGTGACCCGCAGCCCACCTGCTTGCACACCACCTTGGCATCCTTCATGTCCCAGTGGTCATCACACACACTGCCCCACCGGTTCTCGTGAAGCACCTCGACTCTCCCAGCACACTTGTTCGGGCCATCCACGAGTCGGACTGGCCCCTGCTCAGGAATGTCCACCTCTGCACCAATACCCAGAAAATAAATGTTAAGAGAGCATCCTACACACCCCACCACCTGTGGAAGGCTTGCCTGCTTGGCAGAGGCTCAGGTGTCTCTGAGCACACCGGCGATATGGCAAGGGCCAGGCTTCTCTGAAGTGGGAAGGAAGACAGAAAAGCCAGGGAGAGGGGCTGTGGGAGAGGGGCTGTGGGAAAAGGGCAGGAGGAAGCTTTCCTGGTCTTCATGGATGGCTGCAGGCTCTACTGTGTGTCTGCTTCAAGGAGTCTGCTGATGCTAGTCACCCTGCAGCCCAGAGGTGGGACAAAGGACCAGAGCAGTTTCAGGTAAGAGAGGATTTAATGCTGCTCCTGGGACAGCTATATCCATGGGTCGTCCCTAGGTCATTGGGCAAGCACTGCACCCAGTGATGGGATGAGTTAATCAGCTGTGTCCCTCTCTTGTTCCCACCAGCAGATATCCACAGAGCTGCACTGGGGCTCAGGACCAGCCCTGATTCAGGCAGGGGGCATGTGTGTGGTGGAATCTGCCCATCCTACTGCCCAGCACGCGCAGGATGCAGGATGGAGGGGGGGTTACCTGAGCACTCCACACTGGCATCTTCTACATGGTTGCAGATGTTGTCTCCCCACAGCTTTGCCTCGCATTCAGCGAGGGATGCTTCTGTCCCTGTGCAGTTCACGTCACTCAGCCAGATTTGGTCTTTCCCTTCCCCGTATTTAGACTCCGGAGGTGCTGATAGCGCCGTCCCACAGCCCAGCTGCCTGCACACAACCTTTGCCTCCCGTAAATCCCACTGGTCATCACAGACGGTCCCCCAGATGCCATTGTGAAGCACCTCGACTCTCCCGGAGCAGCGGTTGGGGCCACCCACCAGGCGGACTGTAGTGGAGACGGTGATCCCCGAGTCTGCAGACACATCCAGAGAGGGCATGCTCAGGCTGTGCATTGGTGTGTGTCCCCCCTCTTCCCTGAGTATCCCCGCCCTGCCCTCCACACAGCAGCCTCTCCTCCATAGCTTTCTCCACGTATAACATGCAACTGTCCAAGCAAGAAGAACAATGGCAGTCTTAACCTCAAGCCTGAGCTGAAGAAAAATGGCCACAGAGCACCCCAGTAAGCAGAGAGGAGAGAACCTCCCAGACTGAAGCCCTCTTCCATGGTGTAAGGACCCCAGGCCACCAGCAGGACTATTAGATTAGCACCAACCCAGTAGGAGAGTGCCTCATAGGAAGCCCTTGTTCCTGTCCAAGGTTGTGCCCATGTTGACAGTGAAGGCACCCTAATGCATGGCTGGCAAAAGCAGGAGAATGGAAGGATTACCTGAACAAATTGCACTGGCATCTTCCCCGTGGTAACAGTTGTGGTCCCCCCACGGCCTCGCCGGGCACTCGGAGAGAGCAGCTTCCACTCCTGTGCAGTTCACGTCATCCAGCCAGATGGTGTCAAATCCTCGTCCAAACTTGGCTCCAATGGGGGCCAGCACCGCATCCCCACAGCCCAGTTGCTTGCACACGACTTGGGCATCGTTTAGATCCCAGTCGTCATGGCACACGCTGCCCCACTGTTCCTCGTGAAGCACCTCAACCCTCCCAGCACATCGGTTCGGGCCTCCCACCAGCCGGATTGGTCCTGGCTCAGGTATTTCTGTTTCTGCCAAAAACAAATGAGGGAAAAGTTTTGGGACATGTCTCTGTATCCCTGATCACCTGGAGAAAGCAGAATCTCCCATGATGCACCAAAACTGTCTCTGCTTATCCCAAGTGCCTGTCAAAGGCTCCTTTCTTAACTTCTGGCTTAAGAAGGAAAGTTGAAGGGAAAATAGTATCAGCATGGAGGCCGTCAGGGAAGGGATGGGACTATTTGTGTCCTCTCCCATCTCTGCAGGTAGTTCCAGGTCCAGGAGTTGTGATGCAACTTCTCTGGGTCAAGCGGGGTAGGAAGCTGGAGCTGAACAAAGTCATTCTGCATCCCTGACCTCCTAACTGGATGGGTCAGAAGTTGCACCCTGGCCTATTTGAGGCAGAAGGGCCAATGTGGCACAAAGTAGAAAACACCTGGGGGTTACCTGAGCACTCCACGCTGGCATCTTCTACGTGGTTGCAGATGTTGTCTCCCCATGGCTTCGCCTTGCATTCAGCGAGGGATGCTTCTGTCCCTTTGCAGTTCACGTCACTCAGCCAGATTTGGTCTTTCCCTTCCCCGTATTTAGACTCCCGAGGGGCTGATAGTGCCGTCCCACAGCCCAGCTGCCTGCACACAACCTTCGCCTCCCGTAAATCCCACTGGTCATCGCAGACGGTCCCCCAGACGCCATTGTGAAGCACCTCGACTCTCCCGGAGCAGGGGTTGGGGCCACCCACGAGGCGGATCTCATGTTTGCTTGTGTCTACATCTTCTGGAGAGACCAGACACCCCAGGGTGAAGGCAGGGAATGAGAAAGAGGGCTTTTCCTCCCCAGTGAGACTGTCTTTATTGCCAAACCAGGAGGAAGAAAAGCCCAGGATATTCTAGCATCCCAAATCTTTGGTGGTTGGGAACCGGGTTTTGAGCTCAGAATGGCCAAAAGCTGCAGGTGTTTGTGGGACCATAAGTCTGTTTTGAGATACAAATCTCAGGGCTCATTTTCAGCTGTAGAGGGAGATGTGTAGTGCCCCCAAAACCTACCCCAGCATTCAGGTTCTGGGTAAGTGTCCCCAGAGTTAAGGCCTGTGTCTCCCAGCAAATGCTGCTATAAGGATTGGAAGCAGGGAGGAAAGAATGAAAACATTTCTACCCATTCCCCAAGGGAAGGGTTGGGTTTTCTCAGCTATTGGCAGTGATTGCTGGGTGCAGTTGTGGACCTACAGCCAGTCAGCACTTGGGAGTGGAAAGGACCTACTCAGTCCTGTTCCTGCTGTTGAACCCACCAGGACATACAATCACTCTGAAAACCTGGCCCCAGTTGCCAAACCTCTGATCACAACACTGTTTGCCACCTAATACCAAGAACCAAATCTCTCTGGACACCGTTGTCCCTTTGCACAGATCTGGGGTGCTGTAGTGGGAGAAATTCAGGGACTGAAAAGTGCCAGGGACTGAAACCCTGAAGCACCTCCACACTGGCTCATGGAGCCAAGGGGACACCAGGCATTCTTCCATCTCATGGAGATCAGACCCCAGCATTGAGGGTATCTCAACTTCTGGTTTAACTTCACTAAAATGAGCAGCTGTTTTGTCAATGTTTTGGATCAGTACTGCCCCTTTCACCCAGAAACCTCCAGCCAGCTGCACCTCACAGAGCATACAGGAGCTAGAGTCAGGTCTTCTCCATCAGCTAATCAGGAGAATGTGGTTTACAGAAAGATCATTGGCCACAGAAGCAGGTTTCAGACCAAGGTCTCTTGGCCCCAAGCAGCATATTTAAATCTCCAGATCAGACATAGCATCATTCTGCATGACATTTTATGATAGCTGTGTGCGCTGACTCATGCTCCACTCTCTACTACAAATACTGACCTGCCAGCAGGACTCCTGCAAGGGAAGCTGAAATAGAAGAAACACAGGGTATTAGTCTAAGTCTTATGAGCTCTGCAGAGTGCAGAGATTCAGGACAGCAAAACACAGGCAAGAGACAAGACTCTGTGAGTTCTGTTAGGGCCCATCATTGCTGTCTGTCTCCCTAACCCAGCTGTCAATTGGCTTTGCCTATCCTAGTGCATGTCCACAGGACTTTCTTGATAAAGAGATCAGATAAGGAGAGAAAACCTAAAAAAAACCCCAAAACCAACCTACTGGGGAAAAAAAAAAAATTTGGTTTGGGCAGATAATGTGAAAATACCATAGCAGAGCAGTTGGGGTTTCTCTTGTCCACATTCAGTCACCTGAAAGTCAGTGTCCAGACAGGTTAGATTAGATGATTAGATTAGATTATCTAGACTCCTGTGACAGCCAGTGGAAAGAGCTGAGTCATGGCTGATGCATACCAATCTCATCCTAGGGCTGGTGTCCAGAGCAGCAGAGGGTCAAACTGGGGCTGGAGTCTCTGCCTAGAGACTCTCGGTGTGACACCCAGCTCTCATCAGCAGCCAGGCAAGAGGTACACCACTGAATGAAACTGCTGAAAATGCGATGAGTTGCAAGCAGCACAGCATTTTTATTCTTGCCTGTTGGTCAGGGCCAGACCACAAAGAAGCATTGCTGTCTCTGAACTTCAGGCAGGCACCAGACAGAATTAACCCCAGGACTGCTGCCGCCAGTCCTGCAGACATTAATGGCAGCAATGAAATGCCACGGGAACAGCTATGGGCCTGCTAGTGGGGTCATGCAAAGAAGCGTCTTCAAGGTGGAATGTGTCTGGAGACTTGTGCAAAGAAGCTATTCCCATTCAGCAGATTTCCCTGAGGATTAACTAGAGGTGGAGGCAAACCCTGGGAGGGAAAGCCTGAGGAAAGACTTGCCAGGACAAGTCTTTCCTGGAAACTCAGGAGAAGGGGACTTTGTGCCCACTGTAGAAGGTCAACAGCAAAGAAGAGCTGAATGCAAACAACGATTTCTGTTCCCAAATGCAGCAGTCTGGCAAGATCCCAAGCATTGACCAACAGCTTTGGGCAAGGGCAGAACTGCTGACAAGTCATTTACCCATCTGCCTTTTTTTTTTTTTTTTTTAGCTACTTCTAAGGTTTATGGGCTGAGATACCTAATGGTTATCCCCCTTCTCTGCAAATTCCAGTGGCATTCAGGTAACATATCCTCTTGGGAGCCTGAAGTGCCTACCCACGTACCATAGCCACTGAGCACGCTCAGTGCCTCTGCCCATTGCCACCAGGTCTGGTCTCATCCCTGATGCACAGGAACGAAGGAAGATACAAGGAAGACATTTTGTTATGATGAGGGTGGTGAAGGACTGGCACAGGTTGCCCAGAGAGGTGGTAGATGCCCCATCCCTGGAAACATTCAAGGCCAGGTTGGATGGGGCTCTGAGCAACCTGATCTAGTTGAAGATGTCCCTGCTCATTGCAGGGGGCTTGGACTAGCTGACTTTGAAAGGTCCCTTCCCACCCAAACCACTCTATGATTCTATGAACCCACAGCAGATAAACAGGGGCAGGGAAGCCCACCTTGTGTGCTGCTGTCTTTGCTCATGAGCACTGGGATTCAGTTCCTGAATGAGACACTTCTCAAGGTGTCTAGGTATTGGTGCAAAGGTGGGGCAGCTGTCTAGTGACATCTGAGGGGATCTGAGCATCCACACTCAGCTATCAAATACCACCAATTGCATTTCAGTTCCTCGCAATGTCCCATTTGCTTTGTGCTGCGGGCTGTAGAAGAAGCAATAGTGGAAGAGGAGAACCACTGACAAAGAGATGCCAAGACAGAAGCAAAGAGAAACAAAATCCCACCTCACTTACCCCAGAGACATGCCAGGAGGACAAGCCTCATGTTGGTGGCAAAGATACCGTGTGCTCCTTGTCTCCACGGGAGAGCAGGGCAGGGAGGAGGCAGGACATGCGCCCAAGGCACTGGCTATTTGAGAAGTCCCCCTTGTCACAGCTCCTCCCCTCCACCTCAAAAAAACTCCCTCTGCGCCCTGTGGCAGGTGCTCAACAAGTATGAAAAGCCAAGCCTCTGCCAGGAAGCGACTCTTGTTCCATGAGCATCACGTAAGCTGCATGATTGTGAAAGTGGGCTGTTTCGGGAATCTGCAGAGCAAACAAGTCCTCTCAGGACAGCTGGTTCTGGACCATCAGTGGCAGGGATGGGGGGAGACAGGGGTTTGCAAGTTGCCTTCCACGACTGGCTCCTTGCAGCTGCAGGAATAGGGCATCAGTGCCCAGGCTTAGCTGGGAAAATGGGTATGATCCCATGCTGGTAATGCAGCATGAGTAGACGTAAGAAACCTTTTCCCACTGCTGAAAGCAGCATCTTCAAACAGGGGAAGTTTTTTCCAGCTTTTGTCCCATGTTTGTCCCAAGAGACGGGAAGTCTTTGTGAAATTTGGTTGCAAGCTTTGTGTGTGTTCACAATCCAGTTAATTTTTTGGTTGGTGTGAGACCTCCTCCCGGTCTTAACAAAGCCAGATGTGCAAGTGGCAGGATGCTCTGTCCCTGGATGGCACAGCCAGGCTCCCAGGTCCCCTACAAGGCTGAACCACCCAGATAGTCACACTGCTGAGCAGGGATACGATGCTGCTGCTATCGTGGGTGGGATCTACCTCGTGCCAACTTCTCTATCTGGAAAATGCATTTAGATACCTTGTATGCTCAGCAGAGATCATCAGGCACTCCTAGGCGGCAGTTGCAGTCAGGTGTCAGACTCAGACACCCGCACTGGAGAAGTCTAAGGGGGAAGATGCCCCAGGGCTGGCTGAGGAGGCGGACATCCTGAAGGGTAGGTGATGTGATGCTGGGAGAATCGCACTGCACCCTCCACCACTCAGCAAAATCCTCAACCCCCTCTTTGCATTTGCACTAGCTATCTGGGCAAGCTTGGCCCACAGGACCATTGCTCAGCATTGTCTCTAGGAAGCTCAGAGGCAGGTGCAAAATAGCTCAGCTGAACATACAGAAAATATGCTTCACCGCTGAAGACACACAGGAATTTCTTTCATGCCAGGGGCTCTCCGTTGGACAGACAAATGTTTGTGCAGCTCTGAGGTGCTCCTCTGCTTAGACTGTACAACCCAGGGACTGCTTGCAACACCTCCTTTGTCTTCCCCATGCCAAGGAAGAGTGTGAAGATACCCGCTGGAGATGACAGACGAGAGAACGTCCCTGGCAGAAATGGAGGGTAGGAGTGGGTGACCACTCACAGGGAAGGTGAAGGAGGGTAGAGGTAGCAAGTCTTTTCCTTGCAACAGCCACTTCAGCAGATGAAAGGTGAAGGTGATAGGCCAGAAAAGCAGTCCTGAATAAATACAAATCTTAGGCTACCAAGGACCATGGCCTTCTCAAAGACATGCATCAGTACAAGTTTAAGTCAGGTCCATATGAAATTCAGTATCAAAGCTGTGTGTGGTGGAGGAGAGCATTGCATCCAGTTGAGAGCAGATGTATCACAGAATCATAGAATAGTTTGGGTTGGAAGGGATCTTTCAAGGTCAGCTAGTCCAAGTGCCCTGCAATGAGCAGGGACATCTTCGAGATCAGGTTGCTCAGAGCCCCCTCCAACCTGACCTTGAATGTTTCCAGGGATGGGGCATCTACCACCTCTCTCGGCAACCTGTTCCAGTGTTTCACCACCCTCATCATAAGAAAGTTCTTCCTTATATCTAGCCTGAATCTGCCCTCTTTTAGTTTAAAACCATTACCCCTTGTCCTATCGCAACAGGCCCTACTAAAAAGTTTGTCCCCATCTTTCTTATAAGCTCCCTTTAGGTATTGAAAGGCTGCTATAAGGTCTCCCCGGAGCCTTCTCTTCTCCAGGCTGAACAGCCCCAATTCTCTCAGCCTTTCTTCATAGGATAGAACACAGATGAGCTCTGTATCTTAGCATTTGAAGACTGTTCTCATCTGTTTGCTTAGTTTTCAGTTTTGCTCATTGAGTACATTTTCAATCTCTCCATCTCTGTCCTGTTTTCTATGCTTAGATAGCTGCTACTGCCTCCCTTCTGGACAGTCTCCAGCAGTTGGCCAACACCCTTCTTGAAAGCTGATGCACACACCCAGCCACTGATGAGAAGCAGAGACCTCAGCTCTACTGGGAAAGGACAACAGTCACACAGACATCTCGTGTGTGGGAGGACCCCCTGTTCCAGAAGCCTCAGGTGAGGTTTGCTTTTGTCGCAATACCCATAGGTTGTTGAGTCATAGCCTGTTGTGCTTTGATACTGATCCTTAGGTTCTTCCCACTTGCAGGGAGTCTGGCCAGTGATTCCTGGTTTGTATTTGTACAGTCGATTGCTCACTTGATACTTAACCCCAACAAGCCTGTGTTTGTTGATAACACTTGGCATGTTATCTTCTAGGTGGCTACAAATAGAAGTATTGGCTTCGTGCTCAGTGTTTTTCCAGGAACTGGATTTAGACTGAATCCTCTAAAATTCACCAGAGTTCCTTCCTCCCCCCTTCCTTCTTCCCTCCCTCGTTCCCTCTTCCTTCCTCACTTCCTTCCTCTTTTCCTTCCTTCCCTCCTTTATTATTCTCTTCCTTTCTTTCTTTCTGTCTTCCTCTTTCATTTATTTATTTGTTCATTCATTTCTCTTAACACCCAAGTGGATCAAAGTGTAATTTTAACTACGTAGGGAGGCTTGGAGCAACTGACTGTGCATGAGGATCCTTGCGCGGAGTGGTGTCCCTTGTACTATATGACAAGTCTTGACACCTGCTGTGGCTTTCCTGAAATGTTCTGGAGTTTCCCAGCATCTTTTACTTGGAGTACCCAAAAATTCAAACACAAATTCCTCTTTTCTCCCTGCTGACCTGTTGAAAACACAGTCCTACTCAGCCCTGACACCTCTCCTCAGGACAGTCTGAAGATAACCCAAATTTCCTGATTTTTCTTCAGCCATACACTGGTCCTGTGCATGCAAACCAGGGAACACAGTGACTTTGGCTGCTTTAGCATCGTTGCTGTCAGTCAGTTCTCAACATGGAGCAGCAGAGACCTGCTGTTTATTTAACCAGGCACTCAATCTCTTCCAAGGCAAGCAGTGACCATGCTGTCATTATCACTTTCTTGGGCAGGCTGGGATCAAGATTTAATATCACTGGCATTCGTAGGGTAAAAACTCAACCATTTGTTGAGTTTCATCATCAGACCTGCTGTTTTGATCAAGCTTTAATATCACCGGCATTCTTAGGGTGAAAACTCAACCATTTATCCTTTCATCGTCAGACCTGCTATGCTGAGGGTGGCTCAGTGGACCACTCCATGCAGCCAAGGCATGAACCAGCTCACATTCGCACCGCTGAGAGTTAGTGCCACACGAAGCAGACTAGCTATGCTCATTCTGCATGGTGCTTGGTTTGGATGGGCTCTTTGTTCCACACCTGAGGATATATTTGCATTGTTTCTCAGCTCAAAATGATTGAGGCAGTAGGAATTTTTTTTTTTTTAAGCCTGCCAGAGAGTTGTTTTCAGTAGAATGAAGACGAGATGTGTTGGGTATGCAGGGGAGCGGCAGGGAAGTGTGTGCATGGGGAGGGCAAAGCTGGCTACAACAGAGCTGAAGCAGAGAGAGGCAAAAGCAGTCTGATACATCTCTACATTGGGGTAGGCTCTGGTATGAACTGCCCCTCAGCTGGGCTCTGGCTTTCCCTGGGGAAAATATGTGCTTTGGTCTAGAAGAGAGGGTGGGATGGGATTAGCACATGTGCCATGTAAACACAGAGGGAACAGGCGAGAAACGAGTTCACAAAGAGATACCGTGTTTGGGACCTGATGTCTATGCCCTATGGCAAGGTAAAATTTACAGCTGCAGCTGGTTGATCTGAGATGAGAAGGTGTAAGTGTGTAAAGATGGGAAGGATGCTCTCCATGTATCTGAGGAGACACATCCGAAGAGAACTGAAGGGTGCTCTGGTTGCATTCTCCCTCTGCAGGCCATGAAAACACATTCCCTGAGCACAGCGATTACTTTCTATGGCTTAATGAGGGCTCTGCTTATTAAGAGTGAGCTAGGAGGAGGAAGGGTAATCAGGAACTGAACTCTTTTTTTGCTAGGACAGCTGTACTTGCTGTATTTTCTTTGGGCTTGTCTCCTGCTGTAAAGGAGTTTGAGTAACTCTGGATGTACAAGGCACATTGTTTCCCAAATCCAGCACAACCCTTTAGTGGTCTCATCTTTAATGGAACATCTTTGCATGCACCATAGCACATGCCACCTGGCCTCTATCTGATACCCTGATGTCTCTAAAGGCAAGGTGGGTGGGATATGTGCACTGACTGATGCTGGAGTCACCCTGTAGCGTCCAAGACATCTTCACCAGGTTATAAATATGGCACAAGAATAAACAGAGAATAGAAATTTTATGTAGTGGAAGACTGCCTATATTTAGCCCTTTCCTGGGTGTCTGCAGTGTCAGCACCTACATCCGATTAGTAGACATTCAGGGTTCCTCTTATAATTACTGATGATTTAATTGATACACATAGTTCAAAGTAGTATTTGGCCTCTGCAAAACATTGAACATGGCCCAGCCCTTTGTCAAAAAGTGCTGTGCCAGGGACCTTGGCGACCTGACAGCTCTCCATGTCCATTCCCACATCCCACTCTCCTTTTACGTTGGCTTTTTCCCCTCCCCATACTTAGGATTGGGGCAGAGGGGGCTGTTGCACCAAGGCTCCATGGTATTGGCTCTTACAAAGCCTTGCTGAGGCATTGACCCAAACCTCAACTTTTAGCGGGAAGGCATGGACAAAAATGTTGTGCTGGGTGTAGAATGAGACACATATAGCTTGAAGGCAAACATTTCAATAAGGCACCCAGACATCCAGAGCATAACACACGAATGGGGTCATTTGACTGTACTTTATATAAGAGGAAACAATTTTGACTGTGGTTTTGGGGGGCACCTTCCAATGCTGTGTCACAAACTCTTTCTCATTATTTCTCAATTCGTGACCTGGTGGTCCTTGGGCACAATGTGTTGGCCACGAGTGGGTATGCAATAAAGGTGGCCTGGCCTTCACTGCCAACAGGGCTAGAACGCTTTCTCTAAGTCAGGTCATCTTCTGGCTGGGACGTTGCTCAAGACCTCAACACAGACATGCCAACCATGGCACTGCTCACTCTCCCCAGGACAACCTTCCCTCTCTGGACAGTGTCTTGCCAAGCCTGGAGCCATCCCCTGGTGTCTCTGGCTGCCTCTATCAGGAAGTAAGGCTGTCAATAATTACAAGCAGTACTTTGGCAGCTGAAGGAGCTGGTCTTCCCTGCAAGCTCAGTGGAGCACAAACCACAGAGCCGTCTCTTGGCCAAGATTCACAAAGGTCCATCCCCTTCCTTGATTCCCCAAAGTCTCTCTGTAGGCATAATCATCTAAATCTTGTAGAAGGCTGATTATCTGGGATGCTTTTGGCTGTGGTCCCCATGGAGATCCCATCCTGCACTACACCTCTTTCAGCACAAGGACAAGGCTATGCTTCTGAATCCCACCACATCTTGCACAAGTGGCCTTGCTTCACTGAAACCCATCACCTGGTTTAGGCTCTATCAGGCTGGATGAAGAGAGGTGCAATGGCAACGCTGTCTTGGCTGCACACCCTTTCCTAAACTCTTGTACAGCACCCCTGGCCCTAAAGCTGACCGTGCATGTCTGTCTTGGACATGTCCTATGCTGGGTGATGAGTGGATTGAAAGCAGCCCTGCAGAGAAGGACTTGGGGGTGTTGGTTGACGAGAAGCTCAAAATGATCTGGCAATGTGTGCTTGCAACCCAGAAAGCCAACCATATCCTGGGCTGCATCAAAAGAAGCATGACCAGCAGGTCAAGGGAGGTGATTCTGCCCCTCTACTCCACTCTGGTGAGACTCCACCTGGAGTACAGCAGCCAGCTCTGGGGCCTCCAACATAAGAAGGACATGGACCTGTTGCAGTGAGTTCAGAGGAGGGCCACAAAAAGGATCAGAGGGCTGGAGCACCTCTCCCACGAAGTCAGGCTGAGAGAGTTGGGGTTGTTCAGCCTGGAGAAGAAAAGGCTTCGGGGAGACCTTATAGCAGCCTTCCAGTACCTAAAGGGGGACTGCAAGAAAGCTGGAGAGGGACTTTTTACAAGGGCATGTAATGATAGGGCAAGGGGTAATGGCTTTAAACTGAAAGAGGGTAGATTTAGATTAGATGTAAGGAAATTATTTACTGTGAGGGTCATGAGGCACTGGAATGGGTGGCCCAGAGAGGCTGTGGATGTCCCATCCCTGGAAGTGTTCAAGGCCAGGTTGGATGGGGCTTTGAGCAACCTCGTCTACTGGAAGGTGTCCCTGCCCATGGCAGGGCAGTTGGAACTAGATGATCTTTAAGGTCCCTTCCAACCCAAACCATTCTATGATTGATTCTATGATTTGAAGAGTTCCCATTCTTGGCTTGGAAAGTGGAGGGGATATTTTGCCATCCTGCTGTTCAACCCACCCCATGCAAAGGGTTTACCCTGCTGGTCTCCTGTTTGATAAGCAGCTCCAAGAGAACATTTCAGCTGACTGCAGCTCCCACTCAAGATGCCCTGGCCAGTGGATGTGACAGGCAGGACATGTTTCATCTGTGTGCTACTCTCCTCTGCCTGCAGAAGAGGAATGTGTTGCAGGGCAGGGAGGTGGCTCCTACCCTGGGAGACCCTAGAGCCTGCCTCAGGGGAAAAAGGGTCGAGGGATGGGACAGAGACAACAGGCACAACCCAGGAGAAAAAGCTCTCCCAAGGAGAAAGGGTGCAAATTAATGGCGTGCATGGTGAGGTTCAGTACCATTTGCAGCCCTGAATACAACGCCCTCTGTCCAACAGCAGCCAGTTACCCCAGTGGCTGGTGGCTGGTTTATACCCCGTGCTTAGCTGGCTTCAGATAGGGACAAATCCTAATGATTGTCCCAAGGAAAGGTCACGTTCAGGCCTTGCATCCTGTCCTGGTAGATCCTGTCGAAGGTCTCGCTCTGCGCCACTGTGAAGTGGTTCTCCCAGTCCCCGCAGATGCCTGAGGAAGAAGCGTGTGTGGCTCAGAGTCCACCATAGCACACAGCCCCCTCTCTGCTCTGTAGGCACAAGAGGAGAGGCTCAGCTCTTGGGTCCAGCTACCACCCCAAGGGGGTTGTCCAAAATGAGAGACCATCCCCATCCCTGGGATCATTCAAGGTCAGGTTGGACGGGGCTCTGAGCAACCTGATCTAGTTGAAGATGTCCCTGCTCAGGGCACTAGCTGACTTCTAAAGGTCCCTTCCAACCCAAACCATTCTATGATTCTCTCCTATGATTCTATGATTATATAGACCCTGTTCTTCAGACCCAAATGGACTGTGATACGGCTCTCCAAGACAGCTCTGGCTGTCCTCATGGGGGAGGACACCTGACAGGAGGCTCTCCCCGAGGTGTTGTGATGGGGCTCCTCTGTGCTCACCCTTCCTCAGGAACTGGCCCTTCGTCTGGTCCATGATGTCTGCAGGAAGCAGGATGGAGCTGCACATTGGGTTCTCCTGCATGGCTGTGAAGGAGGCATTTTGCACCACTGAGGAGACAGCACCATCATCCAAATCCTGGCCCAGGAACTGGCAGAGACGTCTCACGCTGCTGTGCAGGTCCTGGAGGGACAGACAGAGCCTGTTAGCACTGAGTGGCTTGTGACACCAGCATGTTTGGAGCTAGAGGGTCTGCCTAGGTGTCTACCTGCTTTAGCTCTTCATAGGTAATGAAGAAAAAATTCTCTGCATCCTTCATCTCCATCCAGCCTCGGACGTGTTCAAACCAGGAGCCATGGGGCACTGATGGGAGGCAAAAGGCAGTAAGGCAGGGCAGGGGATGTGCAAGACCGAGGAGGGTTCACACAAGGTTGGGAGCAGGGCAGCCACGATGCAGGACAGAGCAATGGTTTCCAGGGAGCAGGTGGGACTGGGAGGTTCAGCTGCATTTATAGCTGAGCAATGGGTTCTTCTCCAGCCATGTCCACGATGGGAAGAGGCTGAGGCTAGAGGTATGCAAGGCTCATGGGTAAGGTCCTGCCAGGGCTTTATAGGGTTTCTTGGCCAAGACTTCCTGAAGACATCTGAACTCTGCAGGAAAAGGCAGGGAAGTCTACTTTCCATCTGCTTCAAAGCACAACAAGGCTTTGTGGACCTGTGTGTCTCTCCAGAAGTGCTTTGCTTTCCTCCTGAGCCATTGACCTCTCTCCTGTGGGAAGCCTGGCTTCACAGCCATCATCAGTGGACAGTAAGAAAAGACCCTTGAGCCAGAGGCGATGGAAGATACCACCCACCCAACCCTGTGCCCTGAGTAAGCCTGAAACCACACTCACGCTCTCCATTCAGAAAGTCCCTCAGGAACTGCTCAAAGGATAAGGGATCCTCATAGCTGTTGCACATCTTGGAGAAGTAGTAGTAGGAGACGACAACATCTCGAGGATTCCGTACGGTGTAAATAACCTGGGGTAGAGTGCGTACAGGAGTGATATACTCCTGGTAGGGGAAGGGGAGTTGCAGGCACTGGCACTGGGGTAGATCTGATAACGGAGGGGTCTGCCCACACAAGGACCAACCCTGGGCTAGACTCCATCATGCAGACCTTGGGCAGGGGTCTCCATGAACACACAAGTCCCCTAGAACCATTGTGACTCTCTAAAGCATCCAAGAGGGGCAGGATGTGAGATGGGGCTCTGCATATTTCCATCTGGAGGGCATGGAGGACACTCGCCACTCTCCTAGGCCAATGCCAAGGTCCTTGCCCAATGCCCCCTCACTCCAAGGTTCCCCAGATCCCGGGCAATGGTCTTCCCCGCTCCCCTGTCCCCCTTGAAGCTCTGCATGGGTGCCTGTCCCACCTTGGCGCTGGAATGGGAGAAGGACTTGGGGAAGATGTGCCTGGGGAGATGGCAGGTCAGCAGGCGAGGTGGGGGGTAGCTGAGGGCTGACTCCAGACCCAGACGGGTTGAGAACCAGGGCATGCGGTCAGAATTGAGGACAGCTCGGCTCCAGCTGGGGCAGCCGCGGCTGCGAATGAGGCTCAGGATCTCAGTCATCCACACAGTGCCTGCCAGGGAAAGCAGAGATGCAGGGCAGGGGACCTTGCCTGGGGGGTGGGGATGGAAGGACCTCACTGTGCCATAGCTCCATGGTCAGCAGCACCCTCAGCACTGAGTCTGTGCCCCTCCAAGAGACGGTGCTGCCCTGCCCATGCACAACCACTATGGTAAACCCCCCCCAAAACATTCCTGTTCCCCACCACAAGAGAAGATTCACAAGACCAACACCTGAAGATGTTTCCAAAGCCCTCACCCCTCTCCTGCCCCTCTCCACCCTTGGCCAGCCCCTCTGTCCACCCCTCGTACCTGACTTGGGGTAGGTGACGTTGAAGATGTCATCATCACGCACCAGGAACTCATTGTGGGCGAAACTCAAGCTGTGCTCGGAGTTGTAGGCAGGGGGGAACTTAATGCCTTCATATGTCACGTACTGGACCGGCATCGCACCTGGGTGGGGATGGGGATGAGATGCCGCAGCTATGTGTCACTATGATAGGTAGGGAGAGAAACAGGGTAAGGGTGCTGACTTCCAAGCCAAGAAACCTCTTCCTCCCCATAGCAGGTCCCAAACAGGAGCCCAGCCATCCCATATCCCCAACATCTGGGGATATGGGATGTGTGTTATGGGATAACCCACCTGGATACTCGCTGGTCCTTCCTCATGGGGACCGTACCTCAACAGCAAATTGTGTGGATGGGGGACAGCTGGCTCGCAGGGCATTTAAGGAGCTCTAGGGCTAAATTCCTGCTGATGGACCAACCTCCCATCTCCCTTTGCTGCCCCACGTGTTTACCTGCCCTCACAGCTTAGAGGGTTGTCAAGCTGCCATCGTTGCAGGATCTTTGGCCAGCCAGAGGGAGAGGAGGTAGAACTTCCCTGTCTGGTACCCAAAACCCAGCTTTGCTCTGCTCCAGGTCCTTGGAGGTGCCAGGAACTGGAGGGAGAATAAAAAGGGGAGGGAAAAGTTTTCTGCCCTTGTGCCACCATTCTGGAGCAATGATTAACAAGATCAAAAGTCCAGCGGGCATCCCTTTCCCGAGGCGGGGTGGGTGGGCTGGGATGCAGGGAGTAGACCAGTGGAGGTCCTTTGGGAGCAGGCTGGGGTAGGAAGCTGGTGTCCTGTGTCCTCTGACCTGAACCCCAAGAACCCCACTTTTCTCCCATGCCACTTTGAATTCCCACGTAACCCTCTCCCTTTTACTCAAAATACACTATTAAACGATTTCCCTGAACTGAATATCCTTTCCCAGCAAATTTCCCAGTAAATCCTGGAAAATTTAAAAAATCCATTAAAAAATTGATTATGAAAATGGTTTATTAAAAAAAAAAAAAGCCCTTCTAGGAAAGACGGAGATGCTACTACAGCGATAAGGGATGGGGCAGATCTTTTTCATTAAAAACCTTCAAGGTTGCACTACAGCGAGAGGAAGAGGAGAAGTTCTTCCTCCAGTGAGGCACTATATGGTCTGCTGTAGATCCAAGGACAGGGACGTTTAATCCTGTTAATTAGAAGCAACCAATGCTTCTTGTAAATAAGGCAGCCATGCAGTCATCTGTGAAATTAAAAGTATTTTCTAAATGTTCCCCCAGGAGTGCAGGAAGTATTCCACTTTCTT